AGACTTTACATCCTTCATGTTCACATGGATGGAGTTGGAAAATGTTCTTCTTAGCAAAGTATCACAAGAATGGAAGAAAAAGTATCCAATGTACACGCCCCTATTATGAAACTAATTTATACCTTTTATATGAAAGCTATAACCTAATAATAGCCTCAGAATATGGGAAGGGGGAGGGAGGGGGAGGGGGGCATGGGTAGTGGGAGGGGGATAGGAGGGATCACTTCTGTGGTTTATCTTACAAGGGTACAAGTGAATCTTTCTAAGAGTAGAATATGAACATTTTAACACAATAAGTAAGAAAATGCCATAAAGGCTATGTTAACCAGTTTGATGGAAGTGTTTCGGATTGTGTGTGAAAACACCACACTGTACCCCAGAAGTGCATTAATGTACATAGTTACCATTCAATAAAAAAGAAAAAAAAATTATACCTGCAATCCTTTTGATAGGTATGGATTTCAGATCACAGGATGGGTAATTGAGACCTACCTTTCACTGCACCTTAAACTCATAGGAAATCTCTTTAATGCTTCCCATTGGGTCACAGTCTTTCCTGCCACAGCAAGAGCTCAGGGGATAAAGTCATACAGCCTGGGACAGAGAGCTAAGCACAACACTTTTTTGTTTCCATCAAGAAGGCTGAGACTTAAAAGGATAGCCTTTCCTGAGAACAGCAGTAGGAACGTGAGGACCTAGGGGGCCTAGAGCTCAGAACCTCTTGTCAACCAGGAAGAGGTTATGTTTTTAGATGTGTTTGATTTAATCTCCAGCATTTTGAGAGTTCTCAGCTATCTTTGTATTATTGATTTCTAATTTAATTCCACTTGGTCTGAGAGCATACCCTGTAAATCTTATATTCTGTTAAAGTTGTTAAAGTATGTTTTATGGTCCAGAATTTGGTCTATCTTGATAAATGTCCCATGTGAACTTGAGAAGAACGTGTGTTCTGCTGTTGTTGAATAAAGTAGAAATGTCCGTTAGATCCAGTTGATTAATAGTGCTGTTCAGTTCAACTATGACCTTAGGATATTCTGTCTTCTGGATCTGTCAGTTACTGATAGAAGGATGGTGAAGTCTTTAACTGTAATAGTGGATTCATTTACTTTTGCCTTCCAGTTCTATCAGTTTTAAACTTATGTATTTTGGTGCTCTGATTCTAGGTGCATACACATTAAGGATTGTTATGGCTTCTTGGAGAATTGATGCATTTATTATATTATACAATGTGCTTGTTTATCACTAATAATTTCCTTGCTCTGAAGTCTGCTTTCTCTGAAATTAATATAGCTACCTCAGTTTTCTTTTGATTTGAGTCTGCATGGTATTTCTTTCCCTCTTTTTCTTTTCTGTGAAGTTACACCACTACTTTTTTATTTCAATAGATTTAGGAGGTATACATGTTTTTTGTTACATGAATAAATTGTCAGGACTTTTAGCGTATCCATCACCAGGATAGTGATTACATTGTACTCAATAGGTAGATTTTTATTCTTCACCTCTCTGCCATCCCCTCCCTTTCTGATGTTAGCACAGTACGCCTTTCTGCTTGTCCCTTTACTTTTGATCTGTGTCTTCATACTTAGGGTGAGTTCCCTATAAACAATATACAGTTGGGTCGTTTTTGTTATCCATCCTGAGAGTCTTTGTCTTTTAATTGGTATATTTATGTTTACAATTGTTACTGATATAGTGGGATTAATATTTGCCATATTTGACTGGCCTTGGGGGGTTGTGAAGATGAGGAAGGTGGTTTTGATGACTGGAGCAAGCAGTGGCATTGGCCTGGCCCTCGTCAAGCGGCTGCTGGTGGAAAACGATGAGCTTCATCTGTGTTTGGCGTGCAGGAATGTGAACAAAGCGGAAGGTGTCCGAGCCACTCTGCTGGCCTCTCATCCCACCGCCGAGGTCACCATCGTGCAGGTAGATGTCAGCAACCTGCAGTCAGTATTCTGGGCCTCCAACGAACTTAAGCAAAGGTTTCAGAGACAGGACTTTGTATATCTAAATGCTGAGATCATGCCTAATCCATAACTAAATATCAGAGCACTTTTCTCTGGCCTCTTTTCAAGAAAAGTGATTCATATGTTCCCCACAGCTGAAGGACTGCTAACGCAGGACGACAACATCACTGCTGATGGGTTCCAGGAGGTGTTTGAAACTAATGTCTTTGGCCACTTTATCCTGATTCGGGAACTGGAACCTCTCCTGTGTCACAGTGACCATCCATCTTGGCTCATTTGGACATCATCTTGCAATGCAAGGAAATCTAATTTTGGCCTTGAGGACTTCCAGCACAGCAAAGGCCAAGAACCCTTTGGCTCTTCCAAATATGCCCCTGACCTTCTGAATGTGGCTTTCAATAGGAACTTCAACCAGTGGGATCTGTATTCCAGTGTGGTATGCCCAGGTACAGTACTGACCAATTTGACATTTGGAATTCTACTTCCTTTTGTATGGACGCTGTTGATACCCATCATATGGCTACTTTGCTTTTTTGCAAATGCTTTCACTTTGACACCATCTCTCAATCTTCTGACCAAATATATGAGCGTCACCACTAGCTTTGGAAGCAATTACATAACAGCCCAGAAGATGGACCTAGATGAAGACACTGCTGAAAAATTTTACCAAAACTTACTGGAACTGAAAAAGCAGGTTAGGGTCACCATGAACACAGTCCCTGGTGCTGAAATGGTTCGGGACCAGTGACATAAAACATGGCTATCACTGACTACCTTGCAGAATGTGAGATTATATCCTAGTAGATGCACAGTCAACACAAACTCATTTAGTTCTATTCTATGTTAAGTACACAAAAGGAGGATTTAAACATGAATTAAGTCCCGATTTCATGTCATTGATGATGTCTCTCTATGGTGGTGTTTTACATATACTTTGAGCCATTTTAACCAATTTCCTCAAAATAGGGAACAGGTCACAGCCCCCCATATTCCTAAGTAGTGTACCCCCTCTCTATTCCCAAGTAGTATACCTCAACAATTGGTTCCTGTCATGAAATAATTCCAGATTTCTCTATTTTTGTATGTGAGCTTGGCTACTAGGTTGAAGATTCAACTGCTAAGAAGTTGGCCCTGGGAGATGCTTGATTTTTTGCCTTTTCTCAGTGCATTTATTCTAATTTCCAAGATGGATTCAATATATATAATTCATTTTTTCCACAGGTCTGTATTGAGCCTTGAATATATGCCAGGCACTGTTGGATTTTGAGGATGTAGAAGTTAACATATGGATGATAGATTGAGACATCTCAAAATGCTTCTAATACACATTCTAGAAGAAGAGGATTAGGAGAATGGGAAAGAAACAATATTTCTATGATAATCAGATTCAGAAAAATGACAAGTCCCAAATGTTTTATAAACACAAATCAAGACTTACACGTTAGCTTTTAATGAGCATGAACCTTAAAAATCCAGACCCTTCCCTCATTTCCACAGGGTGAGCCCTGAATGGAACAGCCACACACCTGAATATTCACTGACTTTATTTCTTTAAATGGCAACTGAGCCTAAAACCTTTCACATAGAGCCTATGGGTCCTGCCCATGAATAGGACTATTCTTATATCTAGCATTAGAGTTGTCAAATACTGACCTCTTGTCCTTAAAGGAGTTGGAGTGGGAGAAGGGTAGGGGCTGAGTTCTTCTCAAATCATAAACATTTCTGAATTATCCAGAAATTTAAGTTTCAAACAACCAAACAAATTTGTAGTATCAGTGATTTATTCAAAATAACTTTGGGACAACTGGTTAGTAACTGGGTAAAAATAATTTGGAGCCTTACTTCATTGCTATAATAGACAGAATTAAAATGTCCCCTGTAATATTTGCCCAGGGTTAGTTTCAAGATTGCACAGCTGACCTTAAGATAGGGAGATTATCTAAGTGCAATCATATGAACCCTTAAAACCAGAAGAGAAATAGCAGAAATCCAGCCAGATTTGAAGCTACAGCAGATACTCTCCTGTGGACTGTGAAAGAGCAAACTACCATGGCCACTTGCCAGGGGATGGTGGCTGACCTTTAGAAGCTGAGGATGCTTCCTCCTGCCAGATGATAAATAGCAAGAAAATGGGCACCTTGGACCTACCGTGGCAAGAGCTTGGTTTCTACTCAGGGCCCATGTGAACTTGGAGTCAAATTCCACCTAGAATCTCCATAGCTTTGGTGTGAGCTATGTGAAACCCTGAGCCCAGAAACCAATTGGGCTTTGCTGGGCTTCAAACTTGGGGAACTGAGAGATAATAAATAAAATGCTACATTTGTTACGATCTGTTACAGCAGCAATACAATTCCTTACACTAAAAGAAACTCCATGTGTGAATAAACATTAATATTTAAAAAATATTTGCCATATTTTATAAACATTTTTATTCATTTTTATTATTCTTTATTCCTATTTTTTCTCTTACATTCTTAATTGAGAATTTTACATAGTCCCATTGTCTCTCAACACCTAGCATATTCAGTATACTTAAAAAATTTTAGTGGTTGCCCTAGAATTTGCAATATACATTTACAACTAATCCAAGTCCATCTTCAAATAACACTATGCAGCTTTATGCATGGTTCAAGTACCTTGTAACAGATTATTCCCAATTATTTGCTCTTATCCCTTAAAACATTATTGTCATTAATTTCACATATCCATAAACTAGGTTTGCAGAAAATATTGTTGCTATTATTATTATGGAATAATATGTTTGAACGGAATATCATCTGTTAAATCAGTTAATAAGAGAAATAAAATATTTTATTTTCCCTCCATTTATTCTTTCTCTAACACCCTTCCTTTCATTTTTTCAGATTGGCATACCACTTTTCTTCTCTAAAAGAAGGTATACCTTTTACTTCTCTATATACTTTTACTTCTCTAAAAGTGGTATACCACTTTTCTTCTCTAAAGAACTTCTCTTACCATTTCTTGACAACCAAGTCTAAGGGTGACAATTCCCTCAATGTTTGTTTGTTTGTTTGAGAAAGGCTTTATTTCTCTTTCAGTTTGGAAAGATAATTTTGATGTATACAGAATTCTAAGCTGGTGGGTTTTCTTTTTTTCCTTCAACACTTGAAATACGTTACTCCACTCTTTTCTTCCTCCCATGGTTTATAAAGAGAAGTCTGATGTAATTCACATCCTTGTTCCTCTATGGGTAAGATGCTTTCTTCCTCTGACTTTTTAAACAATATTTTCTCTGTCGTTAATTTTCTGAAATTTGAATATGGTAAGCCTAGGTGTAGTTTTTTTTCTTTATTCTGCTTGGTGTTTTATGAGCTTCCTGGACATAGAACACCATTGTGGTTTGGTTCTATCATTTATTTTGTAAGCTTGCTATCCACTATTACTTCAAGTAGTTCTTCTGTCCCTTTATCTCCTACTTCTTCTATTATTCCCATCATGCACGTGTTATATCTTTGTAATTGTCCTACAGTTCTTTGATATGCAGGGGAGTATTTCAAATTTCTGACTTCTTTTTGTTTTCCAGGTTGGGAGACTTTTATTGACATGTATTCAAGCTCACTTCTTTCCCTAGCCACATCCAGTCTAATGATGGCTCAATCTAAGGCATTCTTCATTCTCATCACAATGTTTTTGGTTTCAGATATTTCCATTAGATTTCCATAGGGCTTACATAATTCTGCTTCCATTACCCATTTGTTCTTGCATGCTGTCCACTCTGTTGGTTAGTGTCCTTAGCATATTAGCATAGTTTATTTAAATTCCCAGGTGGATAATTCCAACATCTCTGATATATCTAAGTCTGTTTGTAATGCTTGTTATGTCTCTTCAGACAATGATCATGTCCTTTTAACGTGCCTTATAATTTTATATTGAAAGCCAGACATGATGTATAAGGTAAAAGGAACTGAATAAAACAGGCATTTAATGTGAGCTTTTATGTTTATTTGGCTAAGAGTTAGGATGTGTTTCCTACTTGCATTAGTCGTAGGTGTCGGTGGATAAAATTCTTTCTATCGTCCATGTTTTTTTTTTTTTTTTTCCTCCCCTGTTGCCTTTGGACCTCCCTAGGGAATCCTTCTGTAATAGGGTCTAAGATTCATAGTTCTATCAGCTATAACCTCCTGTTATTATACAGAAGCCCAGCTGATGTGATGGCAATGTGAAGGGTGAGAGGAAGCACACTATATAGTAATAAATAGGTCTCATACTTTTAGTGAGCTAGTATTCCAAGGGTATGAGTTTCACAAGTGTGCCTGGTTTATTACCCTCTGGGGAGAGACAGGAAGATTAGAAATGGCTGGAGTTGAGTATGTTCCTTTCTCTACACTGAAGGCTTGAAAGCTGGGGTTTGGGGTTACTTTCCCTACCTCAGGTGGCTTGACTCTGGCAAAACACAACTCATGGAGCCTTCGGTCTCAAGAGCTCTGCAGTTGAAATCTTTAAAGTACAAAAGCTATGCTGTCCCAGAGCACTTGAACTTAGAGCCTGGGAGTATTATGGTTTGAAATGCTGATTCCAGAACTTTATGGATTCAAGCTCTAACGTCAAAATCTCTTTGGTCTATGGTCTCAGTATTCTGATTCAGAAGTGCAGCACAGCAAGAATAAAATGGATATGGCCTCAGGACTCTTACTGGGTCTAACCCTATAATGCCAGGATCCTATAATATGAGGCCCATAAAGTTAAAAAGAAATACAAAACCCCCAAAACCTGTGGCCTCAGAAAGGATCAGAATGTCTATTACCTAAGGTGTTATTGATCCTGGATCCTATAATCCCAGGGACCTCTAGCTGGAAGGTTCAAATACGCTGGGACTTTATGACCCCTGCGCTTTTGTGGTTGAGGGTCTCAATAGCCTCAGTCCCCATAAATCAATGGGGACCTGTAGGACTCTGTGGCTACAGGTCTACAAAGCTTCTGTTGTATAAGGTACAAAGAACCTACAGTAGGGCCAGGCCAGATCCAAGGGTAATGGGATGATGGGATCTCTGCTCCCAGGGTCCTAATATTCCAGCCCTATCTGCTTTCTGGGCCTTTTCATGCCAGAGAGGTTCTCAGGGTCCTTGTTACCTGCTTGATCTTGGTACCAAAAGTGGAGCCACTCATGTCAATAACAAACACCATGTCCATCCTTCTTGACAGGCAGGAGGCCTCTGGGGGTGAAGTAATACATGAAATAGCCACCACAAACCTGGACGAAAAGAAGCACAGTCAAAAAGGACTGTGCAAACCAATCAAAATCAGGTACCCTCTTATTCTCCTGCATGTGACCCTGTTCTTTCCTTCCTGAGATTCCTCACTGTTTCTAGTCAAGTAGCTGTGTGTGATTATTTGCTCAATGTCCTCCTCCTTCACCACAACCTAGTCTCTGCTATTGACACTGTCATCCCAAGACTTGCCTCAGAGCTGTGGCGTGAATGAGACTGGCTTGTGGCCCAGGACTCCAAGGATCAGGATCGCGCTGTAATATGTGAGTTCCTGTCACAGTTCCCTACACAGTTTTGAGGGTCCCCTAGGGATATTTTTCCTGGGCTCCAGGAACTGAAGTATTATTTTAACCTCTCTCTATAGAGTGAGCCTGGGGCCCAGCTCATTGCTGCCAAGGGCTGGGAGTTTTCAGGGCCTCTCTCTCCTCTAAAAACCTTCTTTCTGCTGTTGCTGGGCAGAGCAGGGAGGGGAGGAGGGAGCAGAAGCTGAGTGAGCTATTTGTTTGGAGGGGATTGGTTGCACCAGGTAGTGATGCCTTGGGCTGCCTTGGATGTGACTGGCTGATGAAGCCCCTCCCTCTGCAGAGCCTGGGGCTTGGGACAGCTGAGGAAAAGGGAGTGGGGCGGGGAGGGCCCCTCAAGACCAGTCTCAGCTCAGCCCAGGGATGTCTGGGGTTGCTAAGGGTCTGTGCTCCCTTGAAGCCTGAAACAGGCTCTGCCCAGGGATGTGGGCCTGTGTTCCTATCTGCCCTCCAGGTACTCTCTGACCGCAGGGCTGGACACTGTCTCTTCCTTCTCAGGGAGAAAAAGGGTATCAGAGGACATCCTGATAATTCTCCTCCACGCCCAGATCTGAATTAATTCCCACGTATATGTGCAGCCTCTGTCTCCACTTAATTCTGGCGCTCTCTCACAGTTGGCAAAGGCCTGGGTCACCCCCTGCAAATGCCCTGGCCAAATGCAGAGCCCACCTGGCTTCTGTGTGCCTCCCACACCTGGGCCGCTGAGAGCTACCGGGAAAATCGTGCCCACTTTTTGCTGGTCCCATGCCCACTGGGGCCCCCACTTCCCATCCCATAACCCTGTGAGCATGACCCTGCTAACCCACCTCTCCAAGTCCCCTCAGCAGTCATTCTACTCCAACCACCTGACTCACCAAGAAAATTAAGGGCACCAGGCCATGGACACATAGAGCCCCCTCCCCTCACCTTGCACAGGGTCTACATCCGCATGCAGCCTCCCCTGGGCTTAATGGCAATGCAGTTCTGACCTGGACCCCAAGAGCTCCCAACCTCCAGCACCTTCTCAGGCCTGCTGTCTCCAACCCCATCAACATGCACCCCACGGAGTCTTCCTTGGAATACAAAAATTTTTATCTCTTTTTCATCCACTGAGACAAGCCCTTGCTCCCAATCGCCCCCAAGCTTCTATCCAGTCTCTTTCTTCCCTTCAGCATCTGAGGCTAAGGAAATGGGCACCCAAGATGGTCTCACCTCCAGATCACCTCCTGAAGACCCCAGAGACCAGCTGCCACCTCCACCCCTACTGACACCTCTCTGACTGAAGGCATTTGTGACCAGCTTGTCTCCACACTCAGTGGGTGTATTTCATGTCTCCTGGCACTGCTCCTCTTCATGTGTTTCACTTCTGTTTTTTTTCAAGAGCCATTTTCCCTGGGATTTTGAGACAGCGAGCTCACCTTATTCTCCTAGTGTCCTACTGCCCTCTTATCTTTCAGCTTCTTCCTCCCAGTCCCTTAATGGTGCTGCCCAATATCTGTCAGGTCAAGGCAGGCACAGAAAATGATGATGCTCGTGTCACTCAGTGGACTAAACTGCTAGGGACTGGGGCTCTGGGAAGGCTCTTTGCAGTGAGGGGGTGGTCACCCTGAGGGCTAAGGGGGCCAGTAGCTCCTGAACTGGGCGGCTGTGCCTTAGCTCCTGCCTTCAGGGATCTTCCCCTCCAGCTCCACAGTTTTCTTTGGGTGGTCTTGCTTGCTCGCTTGGAGCTCACCACTGGACTGCCACTAGTCATCCCACATCTCTTTCTCCAGGCCAAGGTGCCAACTCTCTCCCCTCCCCAACTGCCTACCCACTCACTGTTGGACTTCTTTCTTTGGATTTCTCAGGAAGCCTCTGGATACATCCCACCCAAACCATGGACTCATTTTCTTCTCCCAACTTGCCCTTGTCCCCCTTCTCAGTCAGGGCACCACCATCCACACAGACACTCCTGATACAAATTTGGGTGTCCCCCTCAATCTTCCTATGCCTCTCACCCCCAGCATCCACTCAGCTGTCAATTCCTGCTGCTTTTATCTGCTGGATGCTTCTCCAGGATGGCCACCCTTCCTCTGCATCCCAGACTGACCAAGCCCAATCTCAGCCCTCATTTCTGGAAGGATTCCCTGCCCTCCTGCGGCCCCTCCCATCCATGCTGCTGTGAGGGATATCCCGAAAGACAACCTCACACCATCATTCCCTCTCCTGGCTCCTTGGTCACCTACAGGACAAATTCCATGTTCCTTGTGTTGCCCTGCAGGACTTGGAAGTCTTCTATCGCATGTCTTCCCATTTTGCACCTCAAACCTCTGCTCCAGAAACTCCAAGCTATTTGTAATTTCCTACACATGCCTTGAAACTTCCAGTCTCCCTTCTTTTCTCCTGCAGCCCCCAGTTTTCTAGGGTGCCTTTCCCTGCTCGGGGATCCTCACTGGCCCACTTGTTTTCATTCTTTAAGACCCAGGTCAGCCTTGACCTCCTCCAGGATGCCCTCCCAGACTACTTCTCCCCCTTGTTATGGTTTCTATCATACCTGTGTGTCATGGGCAAGCCACTTCTAACCTTGTGTCAGTATTGCCTCTATCTGTCTCACCCAGAGACAAGAGGTGGACTGTGTATATAATATCCTCCAGGGTTCCAAACACCAGCCGGCACTGGGCATGGCACACATTAGGTGCCCAGTGAGCCCTCACTGAGTGAATGAATGGGCTTTGACAGACGACCACACTCAAGTAGGACATGGGAGATGAACTGAGGGCTCCTGGTGGGGTAGAGGCAGCAGTCAGGACTCATAGTGTATGGCAGTGTTGGTTATCCTATTTGTTGCCTGATCCCATGTATTCCATCTGTGTTTCCACTGAGGGCCACTGTGGTAAAAGTGAAGAATCCAAACACAGTCACATGATGGAACTCCGGGTTAAGGCCCTTGCTGCCACCTGCTACCAGGGTACCCTCAGCTCCAGGGCATTGACATTTATTCCCCTTGCCAGATGACAGGATGCGTCATACCTCTGAGCCTCTACACATACTGTTTCCCCTCTCCGCATGCCTTTCCCTTCACCTTACTGACCAACTTGGTGGTAAATCCATTCATTTCCCCCATACTAACTTCCACACCGACTCCTCCACTGTAACCCCACACGACCCATTGCTAATTTCTACCCAGTACCTAGAACACTGGCTGAATGCTCATGTATCTGGCTGCTTCAGAACTTGGAGATGGCATAGGGAAATTAGGGGCAATGTCAAACTCACTTCTGAGTTCTCAGAATCAATGGATACAGCACTGCACCAGAGCAGCTCTTCTCAGTGGAGAAGTGTCAACATATGAATGAATGAGTAATGCACAAGGAGAGGTTTACCCAAAGCACTATTTAGCCAGGGCAGAGAGAGGAATTTGTGGAGTGGAGTCATCGAGGAAGAGGTGCTTGTGCACGGTTTAAGGGGGAGGATGTTACCAGTGGAGAACGGAGTAAGAAGATGTTCCTAGGACAGCAGTTATTATGAGAAAATGCGCACACACAGATGAGGGGTGGGCTTGGGTGTTTCTGGGGAAAGGCGTGTGGTTGGTGTGAGGCAGCTGGAAGGTGCTTTTTTGTGTGCTAGGGGTGGTGATACATGACGCATGAAAGGCAGGTGGGAACAGACCTCTCAGCCTCTCCTGGGATGCTCAAGGTGCAGCCAAGTGTCTGGGGTCAGTGCTCTACCACTCTGAGAGAGCATTGACAGTGGGAAACCTCTGCTCACTCTTTATGAACATGGGAGCTCAGAATTGAAGGGCTTCCTCTTGAGGCCGGTGGCTCAGCTGAAGCAAAGTAATTTTTAAAAACCCAACAGACAGCAAAAAAGCCCAAGAGAACACGAGAGTATCAGAACTGAGGAAAGCATGAGAGCCCATGGGTGTGAGCAACCAATTACTGGCCAGTGGTTCACTTTGCAAAAACACTGGTTCGGAGTGGGCTGTGACTTGATTCAATTAGGGATGGGTTCATTTGGAGGAGTTTGATTCAATTTACACCGTGTCAGGTCTCCAGCCTTTCTGGAGGGTACATGTGCCTGCCAAGATTAAAGCCATGTGTCTTTGCACATGAATGTTTCCCTGTTTACTAGCTCTGGCTGATCCCTAGAGAAATGCAAACAACAACCTGGAAAGGTTCGAACATTGCTCAAGCCTGTCTGGTTCCAGAGCCCGTGTCTTCCCACTTCCCAGGCCCCTCACCTACACATCCCTAATGATGTCCTTCATTGCCACATCCTAGTGGCCCACGAAGTTGGCCACAACGCCTGAGCTGGAGAAGGCAGACTGGTCTTGCAATGTCGGGCAGAAGGTGATCTGAACACTAGTCTCTCCCCTCTCAATCCTAGTAGATGGGGGCAAGTCAGCCTCACCTGTATGGGTGGGGTGGCATGTATGCCTTTAGTGGGCAGAAAAGTCAGGGAAAGCATAGCAAAGGGGCACTCACTGGGGAGAGTGAGAAGTCTGCCCTCAACCACCACCTGCTGCTACCTCTGCCCCTAAAACCCTTTCATCTGCCCCACACTTTTCTCCACACCCTCCGGCCACCTCCTTCTCTGCTCCTCCATGAAGCCCAGCCTGTCAGACCCAGCCCTGCCCTCAGCTGCCAGGTCATTCCAGTCTGACCCACACTCACAACCTTCCCCTGCCTCACCGCCCATCCCACTTGGGGCTCAGTCCCTGAAGGAGTGTCATGTCCCACGTAGACCAGGAGCCTGCGTCTCTTCCCACAGAGGCAGTCAGTGTCTGCAAGGAGAGAGACAGACACACAGACAGGACCTAGGTCTCCTCCCATTCCCCTTTCTGCATGGGAAACAGCAGTCTAGCAAGGTTCTTCTCTGGGATTGAATTTCATGCGTTTTCTTTCCCCTCTGCCTTCTGACTCTCAGAGTCACATGTGTGAATAAGCCTTTTAGCGTCTTGTTAAATCACAGATGCATTTCTGGTCCCAGATGTTTGCTGAGCAGGACACAAGAAGCCAGGACAAATGGAAGTCAGGACAAATGTCCATTTAGAAAAGTCTCTGTGCCTCCCTTTTTTCCAGAAAATGGAAACTTGGGAATTCTGTCCCCCCCCCCTTCCTGCTACAGCCGTCAGGAAGCTTAGGGGCAAACTGACAGTATGGGCATGCTGGCCCCCATACTCTCTGAGGAGCCTGCTCACATACATTCCCTTGACTTCCTTCCTTTCAGAGCTCTTCTGTTTTTTCCTCACAGGATTGGTTCTAACCTCTGTTTTAACCTTTAAGGAGAAGGGGGAGGGAGCTTCCATTTATAGCTCAGGGCTTAAGAGGGCAGGCTGCAAGGACTCAGATGGCCTGTGGGCCCAGGTTCCTATAGCTGCTGTGTGCCCCTGCACAAGTTATTCACTCTAAGCCTCGCCCTCCTCATCTATAGCCCAGGGATCATGATCACTCCAAGTTCATATACAGTATTTGTGGGCATTAAATGAGACCATTTATGGAAAGCATTTGGAACCATACCTGCATCTTAGAGCATGCTAAATAATGCTATCTGTTACAATTACCACCCAACCTTCATTACTCTGGGCCAAATAAATTGGAGGGAGGAGTTTCCTCAAATTCTCATGAAGGTCCTGGGCTGCAGATGGCATCTCACCCACTTTACAGATGAGAAAACTGAAGCAGAGCAATGACATCACTTGCTTTGCTGGTCCTACATCAAAGAAGCCTCAAAGGTGAGATTTGACTCCGTCCGTCTCTTTTCACTGTGTTCACTTCACTGCCACTCTGGGTCAGCAGGGTCAAATCAGGCAGATCCTCCTATGCTAAAGTGCTCTGTGGAGTGTCCACAGGAGCTGGGGTTTCTCTGTGCCTGCCCTGTCATCTCTCAGACGAGGCATGCAGGGCCAGCCCCATGGTTCTCCAAACTTGCTGGACATCAAAGTTACCTAAGACTGCTTAAAGGCACAGATACTGGGCCCTATCCCATCCTCCTGAACCAGACCCTGAAGTCTGGGCCCAGGAATGTGCATTTCTAAGAGCTCATGTCGTGATTCTGATGTAGCTGGTCCGGCCCTGGCAAAGCTCTGGGTGAAATCAAAGCATGCCTGCCAGGCAGGACTCCTCTCTGACCTACAGCTCTCAGAAGGTATCCTCAAGGGCAGCCTGAACTTCCTGTGCTCCCATCGTCATTCCAGCCTCGGTGGCCATCCAGGGGAATGTGGGATTTTCCCACTAAGGACTCTACAATATGACTGAGTCAACAGGGAATGTTTTACTCATCAATTCATGTATTTGCTCCGCATTTACACTTCATTCATTCATGCATTTTCTCACATGGTATTCACCCTCTCCTTCCTTCACTCACATATTTACTCATTTCTTTCTCATATTCACTCTGTGTCAAGCAGAATGCTGCCAAAAATAAACTGCCCACTTATTGCACAAACCAACAATAAATTAATAATTTACAGAGGTGAGAAGCATTACAAAACCTACATGAGATGTTCAGAGACTCAGATTAGCTCACATATGAAAGGGTGAAGGCATGGTGTCATTTGTAGGAAAATTGTCCTTGTCAGGGAAGAGGAGTTGCCCATGAGAGCTGATAGTCATTGTCAGGAGAGCTACACCATAGTCAAAGCACAGCACAGCAAATAGGGATGCAAGTGAATAAACACTCCTAAAATCCAGCTCTGACCACTGTCCATCTCATGCTGTCCCTTATTTGCAGAACAAGGGAGCCTGGATGATGCAATCAGCAAGGGTAGTTCTTCTGAGGTGCAGAGAAGGCTGGTCATGGTGGTGAATGGATCTAGAGGAGAAAGTGGGGAGTCTCACACTGAGTCCCCCATTGTTAGCTCCTGAGCTGTCCTTTGCTCCTGCTTGTCTCTAACCCAGCCACCAAGCCTACATCAAGATCTTTGATGTGGGAACACACTAGTTAGTGAACTAATTGCCACATCCAGAGCTGTACAGTCTACTACCTCATGAACATCCACATCACACCCTTCTGCATTTACCTATGCTGGCCCAGCAAGAGTGAACTCAACCTCACAGGCTGCATTGGAGGCGACTCTGGCCTCTTAGCTTGGGAAAAACAGATAGGAAGGGCCCCATGCACTTAGAGGGGTTAACTGAGTCCCTCCAGGTGTGGCCGGCCACTGCCTGGGTCCTGAACTGGAGGACCCAGGTCTGACCCATCTGACTCTCCTGTTGTCTCTTCTCCCCAGCCAACCACATTGATGTGCACAAGCTTGGTGTTCACTAAGGAAAGGTGTGTATTGCCCCAGCACTTGACCCTGCACCTTGTTAGCACAGGTGTTGTTCCTGCTGGGAGGACCACCTCGGGTAGCACAAGTGAGAAGTGAAATATAGGAGGAACATGTACTGTCATTTTTGCCATTTATTGGACACCTATGTGCAGTCATGGTGTGATCTGCTTTCACCTGTGTGGCCTCATTTAATCTTCACAACAGCTCCATGAGGTGGGCATTGTCATTATCTATTTATGGATGAGGAAACTGAGGTCCAGAGAGGAGCAGAGAGTGACCCCAGGGCTCATGGTAGGTACCAACAGAGCCAAGACTGGAAGCCAGGCCTTCCTACCTGTGCCTCAGCTCTCCACCAGAGAGGTGGGAAGTGTCCCAGGCAAGGAGTGGCCCCACAAGGCCTGGTCCTCAAGGATCCTTTTCTTACCTCCAGACAGGCTCCTCTGACCTCTGAATCTCCAATCTGCTCCTCAGATTCTGACTTCTGACTGTCCAAACGTGCCTCTCAGCCCAGTGTCAGAGGCACCTGCAGCAGGGTCATCTCAGTTGGATCCCCTCATCCTGTCCTCTTGGTCAGACATGTGGTCATCTCCACATGGTGTGCCTTCCTGGCATGCAAGTGCACAGCTTCCCCAACCTTTGTGCTCATGGGCACAGTGCACCAGCCCTGTTTGAAAAGCACTTCCCAGAGTCTCACTCCCATCATTAAATTTGTAATACTCAAGTTAGCTCTGATGTCTGCAATTCTGAGATCTTCAACATGACTTATATTCATCTTATTATTTGTGTATATTGAGTGTTACAATGTTTTGCCTTTTTTTTAGCTGATCCAGGTCAGGTTTGAAACCACCAGCCTCAGTGTATGTGGCTGGCGCCCTACCCACTGAGCTACAGGCACTGTAGAGTATTACAATGTTAATATAGCTTATTTTCTTTCTTAAAATGTGTATACTTTTTTTGGCACCCTCTATATATGAGCAAATGGATAGACCCCTCAGAATGGACTATGTGGGAATATACATGTGAATGTTCACCAAAAGGAGCGTGATGATACAGCCTATGTAAATCTTTCAACCATCTTCTCCAATGCCTCAGTGAGTAAATGAACAAAATCGCCATAGTAGAAGGGATGGATGTTGAACATGGATTTACCTTCACAATTAATTCTTAAATTATTTAGTCATTATTAGCCTTAAATTAAATAAGACAAATGATATTTATGCTTTCATGTACAAAACACAAATATACATTTTATATATGGACACACACACATATATATATGTATATATATGTATGTATCTGTGAAAATAGTTTCATTGGGTGGCAATTAGGACACAAATGTCTTAAAAGGCTTCTTAGGGAATGATTTAAAAAATTGGTAGAGAAACAACAGGCCAACCCTAGTCAAGGGGAAGCTACATGAAACAAGCTCAATCTATTTAGCATTTAATTAATATACTAAAGAAAAGTCTAAAAATTGTGGCAGTCCATTTATCACAGTAATGGTCCCCAGGCTGATAAATGTGGCGAAAACATGAACAAGGGTCTGTCCCGGATTACCCTGCTTCTCTCTTCCTGCTCCCAATACTTCCCCACTTGTCTGATACCAGACTTGTTCTCTTCCTCCCTATTCCAACTGCCTGCAGTCTTGACACTTGGGGACTTAGGAGAAGAGCCAATCCTTTGCTCTGTTAAATACTAGGTTTTGTGGGAAGGGAAAATGAGGGGCAGCCAGGTAAGCCCAGTGACCTACAGAGGGAAGACAAATGGGAAGAGCAGAGTTCTTCATGAGTATAATTCACCCTTAACTCTCCAAGGACTTAGAGCTCAATTTTTATTAGAATCATAGTCCCTCAATTCCTCACCACCCCCCATTTTCACATGAACATCACCTGGGGATAACACTGCCTGTGACCTGATCTACTTATTCTGGGACTATCCAGCCCCTGAGGAAACCATGGCCTAGTTCACAGTGGAAGAAGCTCTGCTTCCATTGAAAACCACCTCAGCATATCTCCATCCATGGCCACAGAGCTATCTCTCTTTGGATGGAACTTTGTTTATGTTTTAAAAATCCTGTTTCTTAAGCAATAAACATTCCATCCCAAATTCTATAGGAGAGAAGAGGTGGCCATTAGAAAGGCCTTATTGTCCATAAGACTGTTACAGTGATTAGGAGCCTGGTAATGTGGGGATTAGAGATGGTGAAGCTTTTGTGGAGAAAAAGGTCCAGGTAAATACCCCCTAAAACAGGGAGGTGGATGCCTGGTAGCCAGAGTATCTTGTCAGCACTTTGACAGCCCATCTCCTGACACTATCTGGGTGAAATCACTGTTCACATGTATAATCCAACCAATAACCTGGCCTCCTGGTCCACTGACCCCCTCCCCTTCTCCTCCTCAATCACCCACTATTTGAACCTCTCTCTGTTCCGTCTTCTTAAAGATATCCCACTATCTGTTTAACTAGTCCCCCAGTTCATTCTTCCAGTACTCTCAATACCCCTTCCAAAATACCTAGAACACTGGCAGACATATGGCAAGCACTCCCACTCACATAATGTTGTGACCCCGCTCACAGACTTCACTGAGACTCCTGTCCACAGACCCCCAATCTGTCATATATTCTTACTGTCTTTCCTCTCCAAGCCTGCCCGGTCCTCATGGTCCACCTCTTCTACCACAATTATGTCAGGTACCATGGACATAGTAGTAAAGATAGACTTATCCGCTCACTGCCCTAGGTCCTGTGATCTTATTCCAGATCCATACAGCAGAATCCAAATCTTGAAATAAATCACGATTTGCCTTCTTGGTTCCCTACATCAAGACTACTAAGCACCTTGCCATTCCCCTCCCCCAAATCATCATCTACTGGGGCCTCCCCACTGCTCGTCATCTTTCCACCTTTCCCATCTGAATCCTGTCTATGCAGTCTTTTTCCAGGCTTGCTAGTGACCTCTCTCACTTCCTCAGGGACTGGACTGAAGGAATCACCATTCAACTTCTTCCTTTCCATTGGCTTCTGCTCTGCTCCAGTCTCTCTCTCCTTCTTCAAGTAAATGTTCTCTTATTCTCATAGCCCCCTTTAGCTATCTCCCTTTCTCTCCATCCTGTCTCACCTAAATTTCTCAAAAGAAGATTCTATACTTAATATCCAGTCCTTTCTACTTATGCTTTCCGCTCCAGACTTACCCACCTCAGGCTTCTTCTTCACATATGTTGTCTGTGCTTCTTCCAGTGGAATCTTACCTGCTGTGCAGGTTGGACATGGAGCCCAACCCATTCCAGAAAGGCATGCTAATCTCACCTCTGGGAATCCAATAATGTTGCCTCAAACTAAGCATAGGTTGAAGTGGAAACTTTCCCAATTCATCCATTTTTAAAATATAATACCAAAATGTGACAGCCCACCAGAAAAAGCAGTAAACTCAGAAATGGCAAATAGATTTAATGCAGATTATCAACTTCAAGCGGTTGATAGTGGCTGCCTTGAGTGCTATATTGAGCAGGATTTTGAGGATGCACCCTGGCTTGAAGAGAAAGACTGCTGGGATTAACAGTATCTGAAAATACAAGTAAAAGGAAATAAGAGTCACCTGATATCCAGCAAACAGGAAAGAATAAAATGCCAAAAGCAGTGTCTTCAACACACTTTCTACATCATTCTCCAGCCTGACCCTTTCTAGAACCACCCAGCTCACCATCCTAGCCCCATGATCCCCTGCTGCCCCCACCAAAACCAAGGTCAATACCTGAAATCTCACTTATAGGAGAAACCACAGGCACCAGAGTTTCCACTGGTGCTGGCACCAGCTCCACTGAGGCCAGCAAAGAGCCCAAATGTGAGAGTGGCAGTCAGGCTGGCACTGGCACTGAGGCTACTGCCGGCACTGGCACTAGTACTGGTGTTGGCACCAGCACTGGCACCAGCACTGGCACCACCACTCTCTTGGGCTTTTGCTTTAGCTTCAGCTCCCGCCTGGATCCGGGCTTTGGCCCAGGGTCCAATATCAGCTTCATCCCAGTTGCAAGGTCCGGCAGCATTCTCCGAGCCAAGCCCAATGCCCATTTGAGCTCTAATCTCGGCCCTTGTCTTGGCTTCAGCTGCAGCCTCAGCGGCAGCCTTCAAATCTGCTTCCATTGCCTCTCGGTACTGAGCTGCCCATTCCTTGGGATCTTTCTTTTGTACCTGCAACAGATAATAATTTATCAGAAAGATTATAATCAGAGGATCGAGCACCTGCTGTTTGCTAGGAATCATGCCACATGATGTAGGGTAACAGTAATTGTATAGTAACTATTACTAGTAATTATTCACCTAATTTTCCATCCCTGCTCCGAGACTTACTAGCTCTGTGACCTTGGACATGTCACCTACCAACCTCTCTGGGCCTCATTTTTCTCATCTGCAATAAGGCAATGACATAGTAACCTTTAAGGATTAAATTATTTAGATAAAGTGCCTGTCATAGTGTTTGGCAATTAATAGAGGCTTTAGAATGTTCAGATAGGAACTATAGGCTGCTCTTCTACACACAGCTTGTACCAGCCAGGGGCACCCTATGCCCTTGATATGCCATACTCAGGCAGCTCTCCAATTACCTTGCAGGCAAACTTGAGGACTTTCATCTTGCTGGTCTCATAATATGAACGCAGGCCCCAGAAGAACTCATATTCAGGTGGATTGCTATTGGGGACTCTGGCATAGTCCAGGTACCTTGAAAATAGAAGTACAAAACCTTTACCACCCTAGTCCACCCATGTATGGACTAGACAGGTTCTAGATGGAGATCTCTCCCACTAAATACTATAGCTTTTCTTACAATATTGAGCCCAGTCTGGTTGGTCCTGCCCAGAAACCATGTAGAGGGGCAGAGAGGACACATGTAGGGCATTTGTTCATAGGGAGACGACAAGCCATGTAGAGGGGCAGGGAGGACACATGTAGGGAATTTGTTCATGAGGAAGACTGTCCCTCATCACAGTGACCCCACGCTCTTGTTGAGCGTGTTGAAAAGAGAAGTGCCGTTCTTCAAGGCCATTGCTCTCAGCACACCCACACCACTAACAGGATCTCAGCTGCAGCCTGGCCAACCCATGGGGAAGGTCCACTCTATAAAATGAATAGAAAACCTATAAAGGAAGAAAGAGCCAAGAGCAGCATGCTTTGTGTGTACTGAATTCTGAGCCTTTGTGTGTGTGTTTGTGTGTACATATGCATGTCCCTGTGTGGTTTCTCCCATATCCTCCAAGAGGTGAGGATAGGGTGGATCCTGGCAAGAAAATCAAGAGGGCTAGCCTCCAGGCCCAAATGGGCCCTAGATCAGCTGTAGGCCATGCTTAGAATTTCCCTCTTGGAGTCCCAGGTCCTTCCACTGTAAAACAGAGATAAGATGATAGCATCTATTCTGCATGGTTGTTATGAAAATGAAATGAGATGTACAAGTCAAGTTACTAGTATAATACCTGGCTGCCTGAAGCTATTATTCTATGGCATTACTTTATGGAAATTAATGTTTATGAAGTCCTGGTTATCAGAGGAAAAAGAACCAATTCTGTGGAGATATATATATATTTTAAGACAGTGTCTCAAGCTGTTGCCCTGGGTAGAGTGCTATGATGTCATAGCTCACAGCAACCTCCAACTTGGGCTCAAGTGATCCCCTTGCCTCAATTTTTCTATTTTTAGTAGAGAGGGGGTCTCACTTTTTGCTCAAGCTGGTCTCGAACTCGTGAGCTCAAGCTATCCACCTGCTTTGGCTTACCAGAGTGCTAGGATTATAGGTGTAAGCCACCATGCTAGGCCTATAGAGCCATAGTCTAAACACTTTTCCATTGCTACCTGAGTAACCCTGAGCAAATGAGTTGACTTCTCTGAGCTTCAGTTTCCACATATGTCCACAATGCTGGTGATGACAATTCCTCCCTTTACATGTTCTTAAGGCAAATGTGAGAGTACATGTAACAGAGCAGGAAACATGTGCCATTCCTGTTCACTAACACTGCCCCATAAACAACCTACAACCTGCACACATGTACATGTGCACACACACGGACGCACATACAATCACCATGGCTTTATCACTGATTTCTGAAACAGGCCAAATGCATGGAACACACCACCATCAGACAAAGACACTTACTTCTGCTTCACAAACTCATCAGTAATGAGCTTCTTCACATCCCCAAAGAGGGAGTGATGTATCCTGAAAGAAGAGAAAGAAAATTAAATTTAAAAAAGTACAATCAGGGCTCAGGCACAGTCATTTGCCAGATGGAAGAGAGGCTTCCAACACAAGAGGGGAACTCCACTGTCTCTTTCACTCCCCAGAGAAAGTGAAAGAAGGAGCAGAGAGTTCAGGACCATTTCCCCATCCACCCAGGTCAGAACCCTGTGTTCTCTACCCAGTCCATCACCCCCCACCCTCTCCACCAGACCACCAGGCTGATGCAATCCTGGGACTATCCTCTCTTGCCAAAGGACAAAACGGACAGCAAATGCTGAGAGAGCCCAATCATACCCAGGGCGCAGCCCCAACTTGCGTAGCACCTCCCAGATGACAGCTGCAAAGGGAGGCAAGAGGAAACAGGGACAGAAAATGACCACTTGGAATTCAGACAGCAATCAACCATTCACCTGCATGCCAACCACTCACCCTCGCTGGACCGATTTCCATTCATGAAGATGATGCTAAGAAGCACCATGAGGAGACCCAGCTTGGGTGAGTCTTTAGTCCTAAGGGAATAATAGAACAGTGAGGTTTATGTCCAGCAGCCATCTGAAAAAGACACACCAGCTAGTTTACTAGACTAGCCTCTCCCAGGTTCCTCATATATGAGAGAATGCTGCCACGTCTGTGCTTCAACCTCTGTGTGACACCGGGTAGAGCACACAGACTTGTCAGCCAATTTCCTATTCAGCAACATAAAGAAAAATCACATCCTCTTCTTTCTAGGTGGTTAGGAAGATGGAAGGATACCCGTCAATCTGTTACAACACAAACACCCAGTCAATGTGAGTCCTTTCTTTCCTTCCCACATCCCTAAGAGAATTCTAGGCAGGGTTCCATTGATGCTCTTGCCTTTCATGCATCTTGGTCCACCCACATTATGACACGAACCTTGAGAGCAACTCTACCAAGGCCAGGCCAGAGACTCAGTAATAAGAGAGACAACCAACAACAGGCCTGTTTTCCTGGAAAGCTTCTGGAGAGAGAGCAAACCTGACAGCAGGAAGGCCCCACCTAGCCTCTTATAACCTTCAGTCAATCATAACCAGGCATCACTATTGAGTGCAGGATCCAACTATGCATGGGAGCTGGGACAGGCTTTTGAGACCATCTTTCCTGATTCTCTTAAGAGGATTCAGGGAGAGAGGACAGGAAAAGGCTAGAAGCATGAACAAAAGCAGAACTCCCCCACTTCCCACTCTTTCCCAGCTTACGTTCCCAGTATGCCTGCATCAGTGGGCTCTAAGGTGCTGAGAAGAATGTACAAGTGGTCATTCTTATCAATTTCCTTCAACTGAATCCCAAAAACCTGTGGTTGGGGAGAAGAGCTTATGAGATCATAAAACTTAGCTTCCTATGCATGCCTCAGCTTTTCATGTACCTACAGATTTTGTGTATGTGACAAACCAGTGAGATAATGCATATAGCTAAGTGCTGGCACCTGGTAAACATTATCATCAATGTCACCTTTGTGATTAATGGAAATCTAGAGAGACAGAGAATGAGGAATGGAAGGGACAAGTGACCATCTGAAATACATGACAGGATGTGCTTAGCCACGGACAGAAAGCCAGGACTATATTGGGTGGCTTGGGTCCTAGCTATGCTTGTACTGACTTGCTATGTAAAACCCATGGCTAGTCTGCACCCTTCCCTAGGCCATTATCTGCCCATCAGCATAGTGATGAGGTTAGATTAGCAGATCTCTGTGGTTTCCTTTGAAGAGACATGTATACCTTTGTTGAATTCAAGGCATCCCCAATGCCCCCATTCCCCAGAACTGCCCCTTCACCTTCTCCAAGGAATAGCCTGCTCGTTCAATGATTTCAGGGTATACATCAGTGTATTCTTTAATGATGTCCTTCAGCATGTCTGTAAGGGAAGACTGTTGTAAGAATCTGGGCTGAACAGATGCCAGCTAACCCCCACACCTATGCTATAGGACCTTTGCCAAATATGCCATGGGTAGAATAACCAGGTTCTGAGCTATCAATAGAGATGCTAGTAGAATTTTGGAATGACAGAGATAGGAGCATAAAAGCAAGGGATGTCCTCCAGCACATTGGCAAGAGGGCAATGGAGGGCACAGCTTGGAGCAGGGGGAGAGTTAGTAGAACTCTACCTGAGCGCTTGATGGGAATCTTTGTTTGGTCTTTGGCCAATAGGTACTTCACCAAATCATTTGCCTAAGAGAGTAGGAAAAGATGGAAAAATCAAAATTGGTTTGCAGAAAACCTTAGAGGATGGCAGAGAAGGCAGCCAAGGCAGTAGAAAGGCAGAATGAAGAGGACAGAGTTCTTACCCTTCCTTGCAAAAGGGCCACATCCCGAGTTGGTGGTGCTTCAGGCTCTTGGGATGCCTGCAGTTTGGCAGCTCTACGGCGAGCCTTGCCCCTGCGGGCTTTAGGTGACCTTAGAGAGAGCAAGGCTCTCCGTGCCCAAGCAGCCAACCGAGTCCTTGATGCCCTGCGGGCCCAAAAGGCTATGGGACCCCTTGAAGCCCTGCGAGCCATTGAAGCCATTAAGGCCTTTGAGACCCTTCGGCCACCTGTAGTTCCAGAACTCTGACTCTGATCACTGCTGCCATCTTCTTCTCCATCCAGATGTTTCACCTGTATCAACATACAGGAAGCTCAACATCACCAGATGAAGCAAGTGGTCCTTTTTCTTCACCCTCTTCCAATAAATACCCCCTAATTCCACCCTTTCAGTAATAGCCTTACTCACTAGACATTGACCATGCTGAGTCCTTGGTTTGTTTCTCACTGACTTCTAGCCAGGATTTTCATCTCCCCAGCAGGCCAAAAGCAACCCAAGGGTGGGTCCTGAGACTTCTCTTTCTATATCCACCAAGGGCTCTGCATGAGACACCCTGGACAAGTCACTTCATCCCTCTGGCACTCAGCTTCCTTCTCTATAAAATTGGGACTATAAGATTTGCTTTCAAAATTTAACAAGTTAACCTGCATGAATGCACCTAGCTCAAGGCCTAAAACCTGTCAGCTACTATGTGAATATTAACCACATTAAATTCAGATTTCAGCTATGTATATTCCCGTTTCATCTCTCTACCAGTCTGTGAGCTCTGTGAACACAGGAATTACATCATATTTCCTTCACTGCCCCTCCCCATCCTTAAAGAACACAGAGATCTTTCTAAATGTTTGTGGAACAAATGAACCAAATGAAAGGAGTGGAAAAGCAAAGGTAGTGACTGCAGAGGTCTTACCTTCCGGGCTTTCTTGGCCTTGATCTTGGGCCGAGTATCCTGATTTTCCTGAACCTGGGGAGCTGTACTCTCAGGTTCAGGTTCATCCGCTGGAGCCTGAGAGGCAATATCCTCAGTCTCTGTGGCCTTCATATCAGCCACACAGCTGACCTTTTTAGTCTCAGTGGCAGGCATTGTTACAGCCTGCCGGTCAGGATTCTGTTTCGTGGTGTCAGCTGTTGGACTCTCGTTTTCAGCTGTTAGAACCTGGGTGTCAGTCAGCTGAGTGGTAGGTGAGGCCTGGGTAGCAGCTGCCTCCTGAGCCTTTGGGGTCTTTGAGACCTCTGTGGCTTTTGAGATCCCTGGAGCTTTTGAGACCTTCACATCCTCTGAGACCTCTGGTGCCTTTGCGGTCTTCAGTGTTTCTGAGACCTCCAAATTCTGGGTCACTGTCAATAGAGTCTGCATCATCGACCCACTGTCCCTTTCTGAAGCTTCAGCCTGCAAGAGGAAGCAGGGACTCTCACGAACCTTCTCCCCACCGTCAACTAGGCAAATGGCTCCAAAATTCCAAGGCCACACTTCTCTGACCTGTACTGACTCCTACCTGCAGTGCGCTGTCCACCTCAGCCCAAGGCCTCCCCTTCTTCTGAGCCAGAAAATAATGGCAGAAGAAGGGCCCCCCCACCTTCTCTCTCTCCCTCTATTGGAGGTACACCGGGCAGGCAAGGGGAAGGAGAAGGACAAGAAGTGCCAAGGAATGAGGACAGCAACAGCGACTGCATCGAAAAGCAGCTGGGAAGAGCACAGAAATAGGCCTTACCTGGAAGCGAGTTAGACCCGCACCATTCTCCCTTGCGTCAGACATGTCTCAAGTTGGCCTGTCAAAAGCTGAGCCTGAAGAGAAGGCCTGGGTCAAGTGGAGAGCCCAGTGAACTTCCTCTCCCGTGTTCTGATGTGTGGCTGATCTTCACCTGCCCTAAGGCCCCAATCCCAAACCCCTCTCCCACCTCCAACGACTCGGTTCTCAGATACAGGAACCCAAAGCGTCTAGGTCTTAATTCTCTGCAGCCGCACCCTCCCCTTCTCCAGGAAGATGTGCCAGCGCGGCAGCTGAGGACCCCGCCCCTTTTCCCAGTGCACCCCCCACCAGCCGCAGGTCAATAGAGCGCATGTGCATCCGTTGCGCGAGCCCGTCTCAGCCCCGCCCGCTTTCCCAGCCCAAGCCCTTTCTTTGGAGTCTACAGTGTACATGCGCATTCAGTAACTGGGCGGTCTCCATGCTGGCCCTTCTCAACATGCCTTTTTAGCGATACTTATTGCTCATGCGCAGTGATCATAGTCTCAGTCCAGCAATCAACCCCAATAAGGCCCCTCTCCAGGTCCGCAGTGCCATTAGGCCCAGCCCCCTCCTCCACAAGCCTCACTCACAAATTGTCGCAGTGTTTGGTGGTCCCAGCTTCTCCCCTACTCACACCCATCCCACCAAGTCCACAGTGTCTCCTGGCTCCGCCCTTTTTCCTAACACGCCCCCGTCCCCAACAGGGGTCAAGCGCATCTTAGTTCCTCCGCTTCCCTATTACACCCCCTCCTCAAATCAATATTGAGCTAGTGATTCCATCTTGGGGCCGGCCAAGCTGGGTCCAGTTCCCTCCTCAGCCGGATGGATCCAGTACGATCTGGTCCTTAAGGTAAGTTTTCTCCAGATTCCAGAGGGTGAGGGCTACTCCTACCGGCTCTCATCCCAAATGGGCCCCGTTGCTCACCTCGTCCAGCCACAATTCTCGAGACTGTCCACTCTCTCCAAGCCCCTCGGAACTCTGCCCTACCCTCTCTAGGCCGGAAGTGGCCCCGCCCCTTTCCGCCTCCCCGGGGGGGCCTCCCTCTCTGCTTGTCTGCCCCTCCCCCGCTCCTCATCCCTTATACCACCCCTCCGTATTCCCTTGGCCTAGTTCCTCACTCCCTATTCGCCTTCTCATTTCCTATTTACCCTACAAAATTACTCATCCTCGTTCTTTACAACCCCCTCCATGTTACCTATGCAAACCCTGCTCCCCGTCCCCAGTATCCTTTAACCCTTCTCTACATCCTCTATATTCTCTCCACTGGATTTACACTCCTCCTCAGTATTTTCCTCCCCCTTTGTATTTCCCATCCCCCAATAAACACACTTGGTTCCCGGGTTTTCTCCTCTCCTCTGCTACCCTCTGCTCCCTAGTCCATACAGCGTACCACTGTCACAGTGGTTCTCATTGCCTACACCCCACTTCAGGTCACCTCTGCTTCAGCTGCCGTGGTGCAGTAATTGCCCACCTGCTATGTGGCTATATGTTTGAGGAGGCTAGAATCACTGGCCAACAGGAAACCCCAATCTCAACGCCCTCACTTTGTCCTCACGCAAGTCTGGGATGTGTCTGCTTTCTCTCAGTCTCTCTCCAAATCTTAGCGTCCTGGACTGGAGCTGCAGACAGCCTCGCCCAGCCCAGTCCGTTTCCGCAGCCCCCTGCCACCCCGCCTTGCCTTCCTCAGGGGTGGGGCAATGGGGCCCAGCTCAGGGCTGTCTGACGCTAAAGCCCATGTTTATGCTCAGGCTCCGTCTGTAGCCTTTCCAACCCAACCCAAACCACTCCCTGAAAGCGATTCATTCATTGAATGTATTTATTATTGTATCTTCAGTTTTTCTTATTATAAATGTAATATTTTGTCGTTGTGAAAATTTAAATAATGCAGAAATATGTAGCATACCAATGAAAGGCTACCCTTATCTTATCCCCCGGAACTAACCACTGTTAACATTCTCCAGAATTTTTCCATTCATGTACTAATTATTTTGGTTTTCTCTACACAGATGGTACACTATGCCTACTGTTCTGTGACCTGTTTTTTCCCCCAGTTATATTTTAAACATCTTTCTGTTACTGAACATTTTTCTTAACAGTTGCATGATCCTTTCTTGTATAGATGTACCATTACTTACTTAACCAGTCCAGTATACAGTAGATGTTTTCTTTTCTTTTCTTTTCTTTTTTTTTTTTTTTTTTTTTTTACTATTACAACCAATGCTGCAAGGAACATCCTGGTATGTGTATTGGACTTTTTTTAAATTTATGATTTAAAAATTATAAATTTTTATGATTGCTAACTCAATGCTAACTCAAATGCTACAAAAATAGTTTTTCATTTTGATACAAAATTTGTCAGCTTACTTCCCAAAAGTACATGGAATAACATTCCCACCAACAATGTGTCTCATGTTTATGTATCACATATTACAGATATTTTTCATGTTATGGTAATTTTTCCTTACAAAAGGCTTCAATTATTATATAGCCAAATATGTCAGTTTTTCCTTTACTAATACTAAATTCTGTTTCTTGCTTAGAGATGCTTTCCACACTTCCTACATTATAACAATCTCCATTTTTCCCAAACCCATTTATGGCTTTGTATTTACATTTGAATGTTTCATGATTCAAATTTGTTTTCTGTAATGTTTTAGCTTGATTATTCTGCACAATTATAGTTTCTTACCCCTAATTCATGTGCAAACTAATCTATCTTTTCCCTCACTGGTTTGATACAGCACCTCCATCCTGTAATAAACTTGCATGAGCAATTGAATCTATTCAGGAGAACAAAATAAGATGTAAAAATAACAGAAAATTGATAAAATCATCATTAATTAAAGAGTATATGAATATAGACCTGGAAAAATCCAAGAGTATCAACTAAAAAGTTAAAAGAAACTATAATAAAACCAGCCTAGTGGTCAGTTGCAGAAATAATATCAAATATATTTCCTACGTTCAAATGTAATTCAAATGTTCACAAAGCTTCTGCTTTATAAGGTCGCCTTTTCCATTACTATGCAAATAAAGTATCATGAATCCTTATTTCTACAGATAATTCAAGATACACATGCGCATAGCAATGTGCACATGCACACGCAGACACACACACTTTCCATACATTCAAGGTTGGCTTTTATTCTCCTGTCTCCTTTGTGTCTCTGAATTATTGTTTTCTCCAAGTTTGTGATAGATGCACCTTGCCTCCTAGGTTTTTCCTCTATCCACACTAGACACAGCCTCCGTTTTCTTCAAATTCTGATGCTCCAAATACTCATTCCTTCCAAATTATAGCAAGTCTTGAATGGCAAGATAAAGACTTTGGTCTTAATCCTGAAACCACTGATGGGTTACTGAAGGATTATAGACATGAATATGACGTTGGTTTGTGTTTTAAAAAGAACACCTATCTCCCATATAGCATCTATATGGAGTATATGGAAAAAGAGAGAGTAGTTACGACTTTGGTAGTCATCCAGGTAAGCAATGATTGTGCTTGGACCTAGAGTGGTAAGAGGTAGTAAGAAGTGATTGAATTCATGAGATATTAAAGAAATAATTTTGTATAGATGAGTAGGACTTGATGTAGAGTAATAGGACTTGATGAATAATTGGATTGTGGAGAAAAGGGTGAAAAGAGATGTGTCAAAGGAACACTTGGAAGATCTGATTTGAGAGATTGTGCAGATCCTCCTTTCACTGAGATATAGAATACTGGAGGAATAGTGAATTTGAGGTGAAATGAATGTTGATTTTGAGGCACCTGTGGAACATCCAGGTGAAAATGTGCCATAGGTAGTTGAATATACATGTCTGAAGTTCAGGAAAGATACCTGGGCTGAGGTTACAGATCTAAGAGTCATCAATATGTAAATGGTTCTTTAATTCATGAGAAATGGCAAGAGCAACCAAGAAGAATGCACAGAGCTAGAATAAACATGGAACCAGGAAAGAGTCTTGGAGACCATCAGCATCTATGGTATAGATAGAGAAAAAGGAGCCCATGAAAGAGGATGGTAAGGAGTGACCAGAGAGATAAGGAGAAAAATAAGGAAGGAGTGTTACAAAACTAAACAAAATGAATGTTTCTTTTTTTTTCGCAGTTTTTGGCCAGGTCCAGGTTTGAACCCACCACCTCTGGTATTTGGGCCGGCGCCCTACTCCTTGAGGCACAGGCACCACCCAGAAAACGAATGTTTCTAAAGGAGAAAGGTCAATAGTGCTGAATGCTGCCGAGAGCTCAAGAAAAAAAGTAAGACGTTGACAAGATGTCTAGGGATTCTGATGATCAAATACTGGTCTCTGATGACCTTGGAAGGAATAGTTTCAGTGCAGATGCTTGTTGCATGGATTGCTGTTTACCCTGATAGCTATTCTCCTCTTCTTCCTTAGTAATAAGATATCTGATTTTTAAATTAGATATGTAGCCTCCTGGAATAAAGGCCATGAGGACTAGGGCCACACTCTAGAGAAGTAAACTAAAAAGAACCTGAAATCCTAACAATTTGATGGAGCCACCATATACTATATACCTCTTGATTTCTTTTAGGTGAGACAGATAAATGTATATCTTATTTAAGCCTATCTTAGGCAACAGTTTGCTCACTGCAGTGAACTGAGATGTGAATGGCAGGTGCGGTATTCATAACAATGAATATAGTCTACTTCTTCAAGAAATTCCTGAGCCTGATGTTAAAGCTCACCAAAATCTAGCCCTGATTAGTTTTGCAGCCTTTTCCTGCTGTTTTTCTGAGTATTAGATATAGTTGCCTATATTCCACCTAAATAAAACTTTATTATTACCAAATGTGCCATGCCTTCTCCTGCCTAGGAGCTTTTGTTCACACAATTTCTTTCCTGTGGAACACCCTCTGTTAAATCTACCCCTCTGATATGTCTACTCTCTGTTACAACCTCCAACATTTTAAGTTACACAGTGTTTTAGGTACCATTTGTGGTCTTTGGGATCCTGGGATAACTAAAAGGAATACAGAATTAGAAACTTAGGAGATACAATTGGATTCAAGGACGTTAGGCAAAATCTCAGTCCATCAGAGAGGCATCCCCCAAAATTTTCAACCCCAAACTTCCCCAGTTCCCTTTGAATTCCACCACCTTCATAACACAATACCACAAACACC